AAAAACATCATGTTCGACAATGCTTCCAATTCCCTTATCTCCCCAACCGTTGAAAATACCGCTATTTACAGTGTTTTCTTCAATTTTTCCATGTGCCAATGCCGGTAGCCAACTCCAACATCTATATAAGAAATCCTTCCAAAACATTGTTTTTGACAGTGTTTTTCCAATGTTTCCAGTCAAACAGACGGTAATTTACACGTTTTTTGCCATAAAGGCAGTAAGTCCTTCCAAAACATTGCTTTTGACAGTGTTTTTGTAATGTTTCCAGTCAAGCATACGGTAATTTACAAGTTTTTTGCTATAACGTCAGTCCAAAACACTTGTTTTTGCAGTGTTTTCAATGCTCTGGCATCCAAAAACCATGCAAAATCTTGCTATGCACAATGTTTTTTTCATTTTTGGCCGTTTTTCCATTGCCGGAAAGCTACCAAAATGACCCAAAATTCCATTTCAATACCCTCTTGCGCTCAGACACCCAAAAATCCTCGAAAAATGTCGAAAACACCACCGTATTCTGGTCTCGGTGCGAAACCGTTTTTGGCCCCCCCCCCCACCTAAAGCTGATATAGCGACTGCTATATTAACAAATGTCATTGAGCATTTAGTGTTGCTGTTGCCCCCCAATAAGCACGCCTTCACCGCCAAAGCGGTGTGGGCGGATTCTGGTGACCATAAATCCCATGAATATTATGGTGCCAAAGGTGTCCTGATGAATGAATGTTCAGTACGTATGGACCTGATGAATGAATGTTCAGTACGTATGGATTCACCCACCCCTTGATTAATCATTCTGACCTGATCTGGGATCACGCAAGGGGCCCGAAACAGATAGAAACAGTTTACCATGGTCCCGCAGCGCCTTTCCCATGGACTTGCTCTGCTTGAGATGGAGCATTTGGGCTGCAGCAATGCTGTTCCCAACTGTGCAAGAACCTTGCTGTCCACGCCGGATCGTCTTCACGGAGCTGTGCTAGGACACGTGTCAGGAACCATGGCTGCAGTATCCCGAGGCGGAACACGAGGCAGCACAATGAGCTAAAACAGCTGAAATTAAACCATGGGGTGGGTCACATCTCAAAATTAAACCAACTCAACTTTCTTCAGGATCTTAAGGAGGTGGGTGGACCCCCTGTTTTCGTAAGATTTTTTAAATTAAACCAAAAAAAATAAACCTAACTCAGTGTCCACCTGGTTTAATTTAGCTACTGCATCCCGCATGTATTTCCATTTGAGAATTGGATAAATAGGGATGCATGAAATTCTCACACGCACTAAAGATCCCCATATAATTCCCAGAACAAACGATGAGATGACTGAGGCGAGAAGAATCGCAAGAACCAAAAACATTCAATCAGGAAAGGAACTCTCCAAGTTAAGTCACAAGTTCGGTCAAGAGAACCCACAGACCAAAACAATGCGCAAAATTTGACTAGTAAGCCACAGCGGAAGCAAGCCAATAAACTCCAATAAAGTGACCTAAAGGATCCTAAAGGAAAGGACATCATTCCGAATCATTCCGGGTTCTACGATGTTCTACTATAGTTCTACGAGTTCTACGGTTGATGTTTCATGATGTTTCGATTCTAGGAGTGTGAGACATTCGATGTTGAGTCTCCCGAGTCCCATGGGCGGAGACTGTAAGAGGCTTTGCCCAAGGGACGCCCCAACTTGGGACAGTTGAAGGATGCTGAGGGATGATAGGGATGCAAGAAAAGACAAAGCCGTCAAGCCGTTCCCACTGTTTTTGTAAAACACATTGGTCAGTAAAACACAAGAACTTTCAAAGTGTTTGTTGAATGTGTATATAAGTTTTATGGCCCGACCTTTCAGTCAGAGTAGTCGTCGCTTTCAGAGAAACTCTCCGACTCGTCATATCCATCGGGTCGATCATCCAAGAACAAAGCCCCAACTCCTCCGAAGGCTTGCGCAACACCGGCCACGATGAAAACACAAGGAAGCGCTGTTGCCAAATCCATGTGTGCTTCAATGCCTGCCAAAGACATCGTGCAAATCTGTTGCCCGATTGTCACGCAGCAGTTGAGCAAAGCCATTTGCAAAGCCGTGCTCACAGGTTTCCCCTCTTCTTCTGCACGCTTGTTCAAGGTAGCGACCAAACCAAACGGGATGGCGAAAGAGCCTGTCTCAGGCATCACTGAAAAGATCATCACGACAATGGCAAAGGTGCCAGAGTGCCCCACGAAAAAGGCAGCCAAAATGCTCACAACCAAGCCCACAAAAATGCAGGGGGCATAGACTAAGCGAGGCCGGATCTTTGTGTTCAACAGGATGCCAATAATCAGCAAAGCAGAGATCAATTGCAAGACAGCTTTGCCTTGACCACCCCATGTGAAAGCGCTTATGCCTTCCTCATATGCAATTTTCAATTCAGATCCCTCTGGTTCCTTCTCATCTCCTCCATACACTGCGTTGCCAAACCACTGCCCGGCATAAAGATTCCAAGCTGTGTTGCCAATCCAAACCAAGCATTGCACTGCAGCCAAGTGATACAAGAGCCGAGGGCTCCCAGCCACAGCATCCACCACGCTCAGCACAGGTGCGCAGGCAGACTGCTTTGGAGCATCTGGGTCCCTCTTCAAAGGTTTCTCTCTGGCAACCAGGAACTGAATTCCAACACAGATGGCGTTGAAAGCACAGATGCCGAACATGAGCTCAAACATGTGGTCCACTGGAGACCTGCCATCTTTTCCATCTTCAAAACTGAGGCTTTGGAAATTTCGAGGATCTCATAGTGATCCCATGACTTACACGCTAACATTCACGATAACATATATTATATACCAGTAGTACCCGCACGAGGCGGGGCGGAAGTTGCCTTAAAATCGGGGTGCCAATTCATTATGTGAAGTTGTGCAGGAGTTTTAGAGCGGTCTAACTTTTGTGCATAGGCCTCAGGCTTTAAAATGCACAAAAACAATGAAAACTGGCTCTGCAATAAAATGCCTTGCCACCAAATTCATGCTTGAATGTGCATCCATCATCATCCAATTTCATCCAATTTTGAAGACCCTCAGAAACGCATCTTTAAAAAGAGGTCAGGAAATCCATTTTAGATAGGGGTATTTTAGAGTGAAGTTTGAAGGTGCCCAAATGTTTAGTGTGTTTTTTTAAAATAGCATTCTATAGCAACAAAATACGGTGGCATTCTTTCGTGGCAATTTCTTAAAATTCCTTAAAAATCCTTTAAATTCCTTAAAATTCAAAAAAACTCCTTAAAACACCTTAAATATCCTTTAAAATTTAAAAACATTAAAGGTCCTTAAAAATCCTCCGAATTCCTTCAAATTCCGTCAAATTCCTTTAAATGCCTTAAAAATCCTCTAAGGTTCCTTAAAATTCCTTAAAACTCTCTAATTTCCTTAAATTTCCTTATAATTCTTTTAAAATTCCTTAACATTCCTTATAATTCCTTTAAAATTCCTCAATATTCCTTAAAATTCCTTAGAATTCCTTCAAATTCCTTAAAATTCGCTGATCTAAAATGACATGCCCAATAACATCGGTATAAAAAGATCCTGGAAAAACACTGGTTCCATTCTGCAATAAAATGCTCCAAGCAAACATGTTTTTGCAATAAAATGAGAATGGAATTTTAACATGTTAAAAATCATCAGGATTTACCTTTACAATAAAATGCTTAGCCCAACCCCCCAACAATAAAATGACTAGCCTGACATCAATTTTAAAATTCCAATACGTTAAGAATTTCGTTTAAACTATGCACAGGTTCACCAGTTCTAGAGTGGAAATTGCCACGGGGATGCCTTAAAGATATATATGAGACCTTTCTCATCTATAGAACTTGCATGCGCCGTGCGCCAGCGAAGCCCGTGCGTGCGTGCACTCTGCGAAACTGGTGTCGTGTTTCACATGTCACATTTGAAGCTCCACGTCACACTTCACACTTCACACTCCACACTTCACAGTCCACACTTCACACTTCACACTCCACACTGCACTCTTCACGCCCCACACTTCACACTGCACCCTTCACACTCCACACTTCATCTCATCTGAGCTCTTCTCACCTTATCCCAGCTCATCTCTTCTGATCTCACCTCTTCTCATATGTCATCTAAGCTTTCATGAATCACTTCCCAGTACTACTACTAAGGAACTGGATCTCGACGCCAAAGCGACAAAAAGACGATCTTGAAGCACTTTTTAAAAGGAATTTTAAAAGGAAAATTATTAGTGCTAAAATTGAGAAAATCTGCTGACAAATCACTTTCGCAGCCTTGATGCAGCCATTCCAATACGATTTACGATCTTCAGCTGCAAAAGACAATAGTATTACGCATGCAGCCGCTGCACCAAGCAACCTTGACGCAGCCACTACAATGCGATCTGCAGAGACTGAGTTGCAAAGCACAATAGAATTACGTGCAATGGCGTCGGAAATTGCAGCTCCAAAACTGGATCTCGACGCCAAAGCGACAAAAAGACGATTTTGAAGCACTTTTTAAAAGGAATTTTAAAAGGAAAATTATCAACGCCAAAATTGGGAAAATCTGCTGACAAATCACTTTCGCAGCCTTGATGCAGCCATTCCAATACGATTTATGATCTTCAGCTGCAAAAGACAA